CGCTAGGCCTCCATTAGCTAAGACAACAACCCTTAGATCTCGTATCTGCAGAGGGAAAAGAAATGACAGAAAAGAAAAGGAAGAAGAGTCATTCGAACGAAAGGACAATTTGTCATACAGTAGACGATGTGCTTGCTGCTTCCGTCACTTTAGCTGAGCCCCCATCTGACACATCACCCGCATCAATATTGAACACATTCACTGATTGAGTGGCCGCCATGATGGAAGTTCCACTATGGTTAGCATTGTGTCATCGATTTACCTGGGTCAATGATTCATGTCACCCTGCCTTTTCGCAGACAGCGACAATTGTAGTGGGGGGCAGATATGACAAATTGTGTTCTGGGGGAGCCACTGCTTTTCTACTAGACCCGGCGGTATACCGTTGGTGCTCACGACTGTGGTTCTTCAAGGGACATCCTGTGTCTAGCCGTCCTATCCTCATACTTGCGCTGTGAACATCAAGGCGCCACCCCCAGAATACGGGTTTGCGTTGTGGAGCAAACCCTCATTGCGACTCCACATTCCCCACCTTAGATCCTACGCCATCTCTATGGCGTCCTTGACTTTAATGGAAAGGTGCCATTCCATGTAGAGAATGCTGCATGTAGAGACTCCCTCCATTGTCCTACCGACCATTTGAAATGGTTGTAGGATCCTGCGGCGTGGTAACTATCTGGCCCTTTGGTACGATAGTAATGACGCTGCCTCACTTTTAATGAAGGTACCATAGAAGAGGAAAGCTTACCACCGTGTAGGCGGGTACTGTAACTTGGGCATTATGAGTATCCGGGGAAAGCCGTTGGCGTCATCTACTACTTGCGGATAGCAGCTGAACGAAGGTAACGTCAATTGCACAAGCTTCCTTGGTGCACAGAGGTAACGGTTGGTCATAACAATAAACTTAGAACCTCTCAGCTTCGGCCTACTCTTGACAAATCTCGAGGTCGATGATGTAGAGAGATCGCTCTGCTCAACAAGTGCCGTTTTCGGAAAACTACGTGGTCGAACAGATACTATGACTATAGCAGCCAGATCGAACAAGGAAATATATATAGGCTACCCTTCGCTCGACAGCCACACGTACATCCAAAGTCCGAACCAATCTTCCTACAACTTCCACCAAACATTATTCTTGAACGGCGAAGGACTTTGACGGTATGTTCCTTGCTCAGATTAGTCGGGCCTTTACTAATATTTTTCTCAGAAAATGAAGCTCTCACTTATTCCACTTGCACTACTGCTCTCGGCAGCCGCAGGCGCCAGGGTCACGCAAAGCGAGGCAGATGACTGGTATGACTGCACCAAGCGTGCCCTTAAGAGCTTGGATAATGGGAAGGATGATAGCGGGACTTCTTGTCAGTTCTTTGAGTGTATCATGAACAATGCGGAAGAGTATCACAGAGGTGGTTTGTTTGGGCAACTTGGGAAAGTTCTGGAAGGTGCTTGTGCTGCTCGTGGTGTGCCAATACTTGGTCATTTTTTGTGATGAAACATGCCTTGGTACGGGCTCTCCTGTCCTCGATGCAGGTTTTTCTGTCAATTTTATGCAGTTTTTCCCTGTATCTACGTGCAAATGCAGAGGCCTCTCAGACCGGGTGCTGGGCAAAGCACCACACCTAGTTTGATTATCTTTCTCTGATTAATGCCTAATGAACTCATGTGTCGAGGCTAACGCAATATCTGCGATATTAACGCTCCACCAGACATTGGCTCGGCCACTTGACGGAACATTGGATCATTAGCGTCCTGACTCCGTCGGTTCACCTCTCTCTTCCTGCCGCGTGCATTTGACCGATCTCGCCATCCAGAATTGGTATCGTTAATGCTTGTTATCAAGATCAAGATACCTAGGTGGGATTGGAAAAGGCGGGCTTGCAGATTCCTTGTTGCACCTAAATGCTTCGAGAATAACTCATAGAAAACACATGATGGTATTTAATCTGAATCTTTTTCAGGGGCGCATGGCTGATAATTTGTATCGACCGATATAGTCTCTGTTGGTATGGATTACTCTGTTTGGATCAGACTCCACATTCTAAAATTGTGGAATTAGCACCCTATTCATAATTAGGGCCATGAAATTCAAAGACAGCCTTACAGATAATCGAAGTCGTAATAGCCACAGCCTTAATATTGTGTGTCAGGTTATCCGTTACCAGCCGAATCACAAGGCCTCCGAGTCCATGATCGTGTTGTCCTGTCGAGTTGCATTTTTTGGCGGAATAGGGAGATGGAAAACGTATGCAACTAGAAATGTGATCACAAAGACAAGCTGGTGGTGGATCTGGTGGAGCAAAGCCCTCACTAAACGCAGTGATGACCCTGCTGCATTATAGCATTGAGTAATCTTAGCTTATAGGAGAAGACTCTAAAGCAACTGACAATGACAAATTCATTCAAGCACTGGGTGGTAATTCCCACCAAGCGTAAATTAATCTTTCATGCCATGATGTGAACGACTTAATGAATTCCACAAAATATGCTAGTAGACTGAAGAGATAGGTTACCCTCTTTATTTGCTCTGGCTGAACGGGCCTAGGAATTTGACAGGCATCCTCTCGGTGGACGCTGTTGCATCGTATCTGCGAATGAACCATGGCCCTTGGTACACGGTGCTGCCTGTGGACTGATGTTACATCTGACTCGCTATCCACGATGAATGCGTCTGTTGATTATCTTCTAGTCTTTTATCGCTCTTTAGTTTTGGGCTTGTAGGCGTGCAAGTGTCGAGTGTGACAAGTCACAGAGATTTAAGATGAGAGGCTGGGGGCCAACAGCCCATGGGGATGGCCAGCTTGATCCGCTTAGTACGACCAGGCGTCTTCTATGTGATCAAACACTTGGTATCCTTGGTAGTACTAGGCCTAACTTTAACATCACCGGTCACTAAGCCTTTTTCCTTAGCATAGAGTCTCTTGACCAAGAATTCCGCCAGATGCACACATTATTCCAGCATTACTCCTGCCAGGGTGGCTGATGGTCGCTCGGCTCCGAGCCCCTTACATTTGGAGGGCTTCACAGACAAGCTTTGATAAAAGGGCGTTAACGGGTTGCAATCGCACCAGGAAAGATATGCAGATCAAAGCTATATTGGCTACGCGCACGTAGCCTACTTAAAAGGGAATGTCTTCTCTTTGATAGACCCTTTCCTTTCTCTGTCTCTGTGGCTGCTTGAAATCTTGTCGGGCTACCTGAGCGGAGGGGTTAAAGTCACTGGGCAACAAGGTAATCAAAGATCACGTATCAATAGACAATAGAGACAATATATGTGACCAACTCTGTCCTTGACGTGGCTTCTCTAAATAGAAACTTGAAGCTCATGCATCCACGCGATTAAGTGGTCCATGTGGGAAGCAATGGATGCTAACTTAGCTTACTAGAGGTCCTAAGCGCCGCCGAACCCCAAGTGTCCGGATGTTCCTTTATTCCTTGCCTGAGGTTCTGACGCAAATCTAAGCAACGTCGGCAAAAGTCGGCATCGGCCGGGATAATCTGTCGAGTGTATGGTTGAAAATGAAAAGAACACGTCAGCGATATTAGCAATGAGGATAGTGGAGTGAACATTAGAGGGCTTCGGTTGTGCTTCATATAAAGGACTAAAGACAGGCAGTCCACCAAAATAGAAAATACATACAACAGCAGGGATTCGCATGTGGTAATCTACCGTACTACTAACCAGCCAACTGCTGCCCTTTACCTGAGCGCAGAAGCATGATTTCTCCGTGAATTGAAACTGTACTTGGTGTATAATGCTCTCTCCCAGTCCCGGGCGGGTGGATCCACCTGTCATCAGCTCCACGGCCACAACTGGATACCTGCTCCCACCGGAAACATACTTCCCGCTTGTTCTTCTTGATTCTGCCTGCCACTTCCGCCTTGCGGCGCTAATTTCAGAAGCCTTGGCTTTGCCATGTGACTTTGATGCTCATAGCCAGATTTGAGATTCACATTTCACGCTATCGCAATAGGGGTACAAGTCCCGCTGGCAACCTGGGTACCCCAGAGTTAGACCAAAATTTGTTGAGCATCATGGTGGCCGAACCTTGCGGCAGGGATTGGAAACGGATATATATATGGGGCATCTTCCCCCCACCCCCGGGCAAAATATAACCTAGAAGTTAAGTCAACTAGAAGCAACCTATTCTCAGTTCAACATCTGGGCTGGGCTTGGGCTCGGGGGGTGTTCCGGGTTTTACCTGGGCTGGGTTTTGGGCTCAAGGGGGGTGTTTCCGGGTTGGCTTTTGCCTAGGTCTAGGAAGCGGTGTGGGTGGCTGGAAGTCACGGATAGTAGTCCAATATGATCATTCGGCCATTCCGTCCAATTCGTCTCCATAGTAGGCTTGAAACTTACTACTTTCCTACCTAGACACAGTGCAAAACTTGACAAACCAGTTAACTGTGTGCTGGGCCTTTGTGGCTCTGCTATCTAGCTAGCATCAACTCTCATATTCTGGAATCCCAACATTCCCTCCCTCTTCCAATTGACACCGCTCATGAGTATTTCTCATTGTCGTATGGGCTGTGAACACGGTCACGGGCAATAAAAGAGGGCAATTATTGAGAGGGCTAAACCTGGAGCTGATTGCCCACAGCTGTTGTTTGCCCGCAAACCATTTATTCAGTCCCCTCTATTCTTTATTCTCACTCCCACAATTCTACCTTTTCATATTCTTTCATATTCGACCGAGTTTATAACATACATTGAGAATGATAATCCCATCAGAAATCCTCCTGCAAGTCCTCAAAGAGGCTGCATGCGTCCTCTCACTGTCAGAATTGTTTCAGGCAAGATTAGTAAACCGTACATAACCCCCCATAGTAGAACAATAAAACAAGAAAAACTAACTCATCCTCCTAGAGGAATTTGCCGACGAGATTCTATCTCTCAGAATCACAACAGCCTTCCTTGATAAACAGTTACGAAGATGGGCTACGTTCCCTGAGAGCATCAGACGCAGATATCTCCGTCAAAAGATCAAGCAACACGCCAAGACCCCATGCGTATTTTCGTACTTCATACACGAGGTTCTCGATTCGAATGCTAATGTGCTCAACACTGAAGCAGGGAGAGAAGGGCTTATAGACAAGATCCTTGACGCGGTCCAGTGGGAGTCGTGGAACCTCCCCTCTTGGATGCTTCTCACGTATCGCTACAATCTGTGGGTAAAACGACATAAGGAAAACATGTCCGCCAAGCTCAATACCCCGTACGAGGACATGAGCATTGCGATTGTCTGCAGTGCGATTAAGCGGGGGAATATCACAGAGTTGGACAGTGTGCTGAAGCAAGGTCACCTTCCATTACATAAATGGTGTCACCGATGGGGAGTGTTACCCCTACATTTTGCTGCTCAGCACGGTACGAAAGAGGTTATCAAGGTCTTGATCAGGCATGGAGTTCCACGACATTATTACTTAGGGTACCACTATCGGTATGCGTTGGCTGTTGCCGCGCAGAATATCAATGAGGGGGCGTTAGAGGCTTGGGTTGAGAATCCGAATCCTCCACTTGATTGTCGGTATCCGAACACTGTCTGTAATCATCATGTTGGTGTGTCACTTGACCTGCGCAAAGCGATGAGGACTGTTGTAAGAGAAGGGAATATGGAAATGATCCGGTTCATTGAGAAGCAATTTCCGCGAGACATGGGAATGGAATCTCTCCTGTTTGAAGGAGTCACAGTGGCAATCCAGTATGGTCTACCAGATGTTATTCGTCATTTCTTGGAGCTGGGAGGGTTTGATATCCACATGCATACGGAGAGTTTCTTCAAGGGACTGCTTATGACAGCCATCCTTGACTGCAATGCTAAAACCAGGCCGCAGGTTGTTCGGTTACTTCTGGAGTACGGAGTTAATCCAAATCAAACATTCAGTGAAGGGAGACAAAGAGTGTCAGGGACGCCACTGCAGAGGGCTATCCTCAGAGACGATGTCGAAACGATGAGAGCTCTTGTGGAATATGGGGCTGATGTTAATGCCACTTCCGTGGGAAGACATGGTCGTTCAAACGCCGTGTTCAGCCTGCCGCCACTGATTCTTGCAATGAGGCGAAGATCTGCAGAGATGGTCCGAATTTTGTTAGAAAATAGAGCTAATCGAATGTGCTTGTCAAGACGGCAGACACTTTTGATGAAGACGGGGGAAGAGAAGCTATTGGATGACGATATTGTGATTTGGAATGGAATGGACCAGGGGGAGACATACTCTTTCGTCGTTGTTAAGCAGCGTCCAAGGAAGAGGAAAGTGAAGAAGCTTGATAACTGAGGAGCTGGTATTGATTCTGGATTGTCCGTGTTCGCCTATGAATAGCTTGGTTTTATCAGACCTCTCACCTGCCAAATTGCAGACGGCGAGGATGAAACATACTCGGAGGCAACATGCATCCCCTCCACTTGTACAGATCTTCCTCTCTACCCAGTATCCGACTCGCTGGTGGATGACTGAATCGGTGCGTGCGGCGATCGTGTTGAGTGGATAATCTTGTAGGCCTTTAGGTGAGGACCCTGTTGATCGATCTAATTGCAGGACGACGTCAAGAATTTTGGCCGTATTCGTATTCAATTCATCCCATAATAGTATATGGTAGATAATTTTATATCCCATGACCAGCTTGGTTATTCATTCAAGAGCGCAAAGATCATAGATATGACTCGGTATATTAAATGCTGGACTTTTTGGGGCGCTATAACCTAATTACAAACGGCCCGGTTGCCTTGCCTTTTTAACCCATGTGGAATCTCTGCCGGATGTCGTGAGGCATTGAGCTCAGAGCTGCATGATGGTGGCAGATTGGGTTGCGTGCTCTCTCTGTACTTTGACGCAAATCGAGTTCCGCCTTGTCATGCGTCAAGGACCACGGATCAGATGGAATTTCTTGTTCAGCACGGGTACCAGCAGTTGCAAGTAGCATAATACTGTTGTGTAATCCCTCTATGCATCTACTATACTTGATAGGACCCAGAAGAGCCTAAAAAGGTAGATTCCTGCCTAGTTAATATAGGGATCTGTGTTCTTACTACGCGATTTTAGATTACACTACCATAGTATAATAATTGATAAGAATTACCTAATATAGGAGCTAATTAACTAAATTAGAGTTTTTATTTCTTGTGACCCGCGGGTTAACCAACCCGGGCCGGGCCTAGCAACTCGACGCCGATGGACAGGTGAGGCGATAGAGACAGAAAGGCATGCCACAAATATGAAAGGGGATACTTATAGACTTAACTTCATTATAAAATTATTACAGTTAATAGGACTGAGCAAAAATATACAGCTGTATAAGAAATTAAGGATATCATGTATGGGGTAGAGAGGGCAGTGACAAGTAGATAGTATGTACTCCATTTTATTGCTTGCCCTTATACTCAATACTATGCTTGAATGCTTGTTTTAAATCTCCATAACAGGCAGCCTACATTTGGAAAGGCCCCCAACCTTTCCACTTTACTTGTCGTTGAGGTAAAATTAATACGAGGAAATCACTGTAGATTGTTATCACCAGTTCTGTGCCTCTCTGGGGACCTCTTTTGTCAAAGGAACCGCGCAGATCTGCTAATGTTTTATGATCCCTGCATTGACGACTATAATACTCTGCACTAAGGTATGTAAGTTCTTAAGACAAGGTCAGAATACTTGCTTTGATCACTTCTCCACTACGATAGGAGATCTGTAATGATCACAGTTGGGCAAGACCTGCAAAAACTGCAACTCCGATACCATTCAAGCCTCCAATGACTATAGCAACGATTGGTAAAGCTTGATTGAAAAGAGAGTAGTGACATAATGGTGGGCGCTAGATTGGTAATACCTTTAATCTTAGGAAGATTAGACGACCAAAATAACGGAATCCTGCACGCGGATTGCATGAATAGGGGATTAGCAGCTCCTGCGGCACGCTGTTAGACCTGCTTAGTTCAAAACATTTCAGCTAATTATAGCTTCTATGACTCAGGTTGCTATTTACTGTCTCTATCAGGGCGCCACGTGTAATCCACGCAAATGATCCTTCTAGCGCAATCCGTTAATTGAGTTGGAGAAATCCGGCACTCCCTTTTTCTACTAGCAGACCACTGGACACGAGAGTCAAGGAGATGATGGAAATATACGTAAACAGCAGCCATCATAACGTGCATAACAACGAAAGAATAAGTTCTTTGTAGGTGCTCGTTCTCGCTTAGCGCGTCGATGTCGCATTATCTTTTCTTATTTACCAGGGTCCTTATCTGCCTTCTCCATGCGGCTTAGGCCAGTAGGCCGAGTGTACCGACTAGCCACTGTCCGAAACTCGGGTTAGCTCAACTGCCCACAGAGAACCAGTTAACCAGGCCCAGACTCACTATAAGGAAGGTAAATCCGGAATGTGTCGTATATGAAGAGTTGCAATCACATGCAGAGTGGCAGTCTGTCCTGGACCCGTGGAGAGTCGTGGGACTGATTAGTCGACATCCTGCTGATAGCATGCTCCGCTCGGCTAATTTCTGCAAATGATGGAAAGCTCTCAGCACTATAATCCTTTTATTCTCGTCAAATCAATGCCCATTATCGCTGTTATTTCCCCCTCTCCTTGGCATGGCTCAAGTCTCGATGTATCGTTACGTACCTTCGAGGAGATAGTGGATTCTGGGTCGTTGAAATACGGTCCGGGTATTCCGCACGTTTTTCAAACCACGAGGAGCTGCGTCCCTCTGCAGTGTCTAATCTAGTCAAGTCAAGAGGGGATCAAGGGTCATAAGGTTCCTTGTGTTTCTCTTTTTCATTATCCTCCTACCTTAATTCCGGATGCTCAGCTTCCTGCGGTGCTAGATGGAAAACGTGCGCGACCCCCACCTCGAGAGCGGTCAAGATGACCTGTTATCACCACCTCCGGACACAGGCCTCATAACGTACCAATATTCGAATCTGAATCTTTCCTGGATCCAACCTGGGAACTTCCATCCCGACCAAATAGGCAATCTTCGCAGACCGGACGATCAGGCAATCCACCTGTCTTCCTCCCTATTAACAGCGCAGCTGCTTGAACAAAGCGGGGACACCTACAGTGCATCCGAGCTAAGCGACAGCTGTTCCTCCTGGTTGTCTTTCATAAATTCAGAATTTCTGGAGGAGAGCAACACAAATAAGCTACCGGATCAGGTATCAGAGAATACCAATGCTAGCGAGGCCCCGAAGCGTACGCCTCGTAATCGACTACGTCCTGATGCGGTGAGAATACTAAGAGCCTGGTTTCAAGAGCACCGTGACGACCCCTATCCGTCTGAGAGAGGGAAGGATGACCTGGCACGGCAAACAGGCCTAAGTGTGACCCAGATCTCAAACTGGTTCAACAACGCGCGGCGATCCAAAAGCAGGAGCAGCTTAACTCAGCGGGGAGGCCGTCGCGATGACAACTCGCTTTTATCACCTTTGGAGAGGTGGGAGAACTCGCCACCAGAAACCGAAGCTGCGGCGACCGCAGACATTATGCGTGCCCTGGAAGAGCAGCCGTACATCTCTAACAATACCGCCACTCGATCGTCAGCCCCAGACGGCTGCTCGAGCAATAGCTCGAGTGCTTCTTTTATCCCAATGGCGCCATCGGCCAGCAGCTTCGGACGTAGTCAGTCGTCGGGTTCAGAAATGAACTTCAACAGAAGTCAGGCGCGGTACCAGAGGCCACCAACTCCAATCCCCGGTAAAAGATCTCGTCGACGTCGATACCGTGTCCGCTCACTCAGGAAACAGAGGGACAAGGAACGACGCGGGTATCAGTGCACATTTTGTGCCGACTCGTTCCTCACAAAGTACGACTGGCAGAGACATGAGAAGGCTCTACATCTGCCGGTCGACCGATGGGTCTGCTCACCCCACGGCGGGGTGGTTGAACTAGGCAACGTCCATGTCTGTGCCTTTTGCCATTCCCCAGAGACAAGTCCCGAACATTTGGCAAGCCATAATCTTCTCGCCTGTCACATGAGGCCATTCGATGAGAGGATATTTTTCCGAAAAGACCATCTCAAGCAACACCTAAAACTAACACATAATGTCGGTTGGCTACCTTCGATGGAGCAATGGCGGGAAATGCAGAATGAGATTACTTCACGATGTGGCTTCTGCGGCAGCACCTTCTCCGCATGGGATGAAAGAGTAGAGCACGTCGCGGAGCATTTTAAAACTGGCGCTGATATGATTCAGTGGAAAGGTGACTGGGGGTTCGATCCAGATATCCAGAAGCAGGTACAGAACGCCATGCCTCCGTATCTTTTAGGCTATGAGCGAAACACTATGGATCCCTGGAGAGTAACAGACGTTCCGGGTACTTTGGAGGATGACGGATCTCCCCTAGACGGAAGTATTCCCAATGCTCTAAGCAAGTACTCCAATCTTCAGCGAGATCTCGTTGCCTACATTCGCAGCCAGCTGGCCGCCAACATCTACCCCTCAGATTTGGAACTACAAGATACGGCCCGGCTCATAGCTTATGGCAATAACGATCGCTGGAACCAGACATACGCCGATGATCCCGCGTGGCTAGAAATGATCAAGCGCGAGGCAGGGCTAGAACACAGATCTGACCATGAGTGCATGGCGCAGCAACTATTTGCACCTTTAGAACCGTGATCCGCTTTTCCTTCCAAGCGACATGGAGAAACGTATGGACTCTCGGCCATCCACACCCCTTCTATTCCGCAGACCTCGATCAACATAATATATACGCATCTATCTGATCGGCTTTCTCCGGACATCCAAACAGCAGCCTTTGTAAAATCCCACCCAATCCGACATTAAAAAAATTACTACTCCCCGGTCACGGCCAGCCTTCCCGGGGGGTATCGTTGCTCCATCACAACCCTTTCTGTGATGGCATCGGCAACTGTATTCATCGCCATTCGTACTATCGATTACGAACGTTTGGAGCTCATCGCGGTACGTGAAGGCGATACTATCCGTCGGGTGAGAAAATAGAATCTGAGCCGGGAAGCTAGTTGGAGAATCGCAAAAGGATTAACCCCCTAGGGTAATGGGGCTTTGTCATCCGACATCAGCAGAAACGCGTCCAATCGGCGTAACAAGTTGTCACCGGCGGCGGGTTTCGTCTGTGAAGAGCCAGAAAGTGATGGCGGATCGGCTGCAAAGAGCGTGGAGAGAGTCTGTGGCCCTTGAGGGCGTTGCAGGAGCAGTACCACGATCTGCCATCGCTTGCGCAGATCTTGCACCTCGCATTTTAGCGCATTCTTTTCTCGAAGGAGCCGACACACTTCTTCTGACTGTTCGTGGAGCCTGCTGGACAACACTTGGGACCTTTCTTCGAGATCAATGGTCTTCTGCTTGAGGCTCGTCTGCTGGTCTTCTTTGCGTTGGCGAAATCGGCGTTGGGCCTCACGGTTCTGCATACGCCGCTTCACCTAGTAAAGAGCAATTAGCCGGGAGCAAGGAATCAGAGCGTGTATTCGGGTAGGAGAGTAACCTACACTGAGGAATTGGTGGTTTCCGCTAGTTGGGGTGGACTGGTGTAGCATGAAGCTGTAGCTGTCTGTCTGTGGTTCCGAATTCGACTCGGTCGGCGTGACCGGCGAAGGCCTGGCGGATCTTGAGCTTCGCTTGACCGTTCGATAAACTTCGGGTCCATGGTTTAAGTTGAGATGATGCGCAACCGTGCGGTGGCCTTCCGCCTGTGAGTCGGAGTCGCCTTCAGTTGTTACTAGAGCAGGAATGGAGACGCCAGGGAACATGTAGGTCATGTTGAACCCATGATGAACTCCAGGATGATCCTTAACAAAGGTCAGCTTCAAGTTGACGATTAGGATTGACGGGCGTTACCGGTTCCTTGATGAGTTGCAATGGCATATTGTTATCCTTGTCAAAAGATGTGTGAATGGACGGTAGCAATAGAGGGCTAGAACTTTGTGAGCTCCAGTAGGAGTAGTCCTCCATTGTGGCAGTTATTACGATGAAAATACAGGGAAATTTTGAGTAATCAAAGTCGGTAGAGAGCAAGTCGTTTTTCGGTCTCACCTTCATGAGAAGTAAGGAGATCTTATATGTTGAGGGACTTGGGCTGTGGGCTATCAGAGATCGTAGCTGTTGTTGCTCGACCAAAGAGAGATTTAAGAGGGTGTCAATCTAAGCAGAATCATCCAATCCTCGGTTAGGGTGTGTGTTACAGTACAGGGCGTATTCTACAGCGCAGGGCGTGTGCTACAGCACAGGGCGCGTGCTAGTGGCCTGTGCTCGCCGGGTCTCTTACTTTGGATCATACAACTGCTGAAATTGGTCGACACCTGTCTCCTACATCACCTACATCTCCTAAGTACACGCCTACTTCCCTGGGACGTCTCAGTTTAGAAAATTTCTGAAATCCCAATATCCAGAAATTTCTGCTTCCCGGTAAATTGCATCGAAGCTTGCATTTGGTGCTCGAATATGGCTATTGAAAGACTGGCAAAGAGCGCCCGTGAACAAGAGTATACAGTAGTGTGCTAAAACGGATGAAAGCGAGCAAATTTGGGCCGGAGAAATGAAGGAGAGGCGTCTGATAAATGCCTGGTATGAGCAGACTGTAGGTGGGCATTTCAGGAGCCGAAAAGCCATACCCCCTAAGCACCTGCGTCCGACTGCATACAGAAGCCATATGGGACGCTCTAGGACGCTCTAGGACGCTCGAAATAATAGCCAGCCATGGACGTTTCTTGAAGTCGTCACACAAAGAGAACTACGAGGCCCAGCCGGGGTTTTGAATCCACACACACACAACGCATTTCCACTGGTATAGCTCATTCTACTGGTTTCAAACATATCGTAAATTCCAAGAAGAGAGCACTCAGTCTTGGGACTTTGACAGAATTGGCAGCGGGAATACAGTTATAATACAGTATCACACAAGCCCCAAGAAACATCGGCTACCGATGTCCAATATTGTAGGAATCCAATCTTCGCCTATCCCACCACCCTTAACCCCCTGGTTTTCCCCCTTACCCTCGGCGGCAATCAAAGAAACTCTTCTCCAGGCGGGTTACGGTTCATCATCCCCTAATAGGCCCGCTAACATTTTAACACCAAGACCACTTGAGGTTACATTTTGACGGCTTTCGGGTGCCGCACGGCAATAGCCTACATCGAGGGTCACTCCGAATTTCAATATGGCAGTTATTTCCACTGTAGGGGGGGGACACAGCCTCACCAACCTTGGTCTCCGGGACACCTTCAAAATTGCAAAACATGTTGATGAAAGCACATGGGCTGCTCGCGCTCACCTGTTTCTGGCTACTACCGCTCAGAAACGAGTGAGGGAAACCGAGTTCGAACTCAGACGCCTCATCAATCAATGCAATATCCTCCTCGGAGAGTTCAAGGCGCAGGGCCTCAATGTTTCCTTTCAGATGTTCTATCTTGCGGCCGCCACAGATGGGAAATATATATGGTGCCTAGAACACAGTGAGCAATAAACCACATAATGTGACAGAATTCGCACCTTCTGTCTGATATATTGCATAGCAACCGCAGTAATAACTGTGTCCCGTCGGGTGGCGATAGTTTCCAATGCAGCTGATACCTTTCTGTATATTTCTTCCGATCGTATGCCGACATCCATGGCACCGTGGCGCCCGCCACTTTCTCCGCGTTGCGCCGCCGACTTGAACTTTCCACCGCCGAGGGAACCCCAGATCGTGAGGGCCATACCTTCCGCCTTGCACATCGGGAGGATTTCTCGTTCCATATCTCGCTCGACAGCATTCCAGCGGCCTTCATAAACTACAAACTGGCTCAGGCCGTGCTGACGGCTGTACTCATTACATTTGACAACCACCCATGCGGGCATGTCAGACGCACCGAGATACAGTACCTTTCCGCAGCGGACCAGATCGTCGAGACCTCTCATCAGCTCAGGAATGCTAGCCGTGCCTGTTGGGGGCGGTCAGTCGCCTGTAGTTCTAGACAGAGTGGATCCATCCTACCTTCCCAATAGTGCACGTAGAAAATATCCACGTAGTGAGTCTGGAGCTTCTCCAAGCTAGCCGCCAGAGATAGCGTCATGCTTTTCTTATTGTTCCCTCCGTAGTTCGACTGGATACTATAGCCGGGCTTGTGGAACTGATAACCGCTGGAGAATTTGGTCGCAACGACCATCTCATCCCGGTTCCCGCGCTGCTGCATCCATTCGCCAATCCACTTTTCTGTTTCCTCGAACTGGTAATTGCTTGCCGTATCAATGAAATTTCCTCCGTTTTCGTAAAAGTAATCAAGCACGGCGAACGCCGTGGCCTTGTCACATTTGCCCATCAACTCTTCCCTGCAAGCCGCTCAGCAAGTCGTTCAGCTCACGTGCGCGTGCTCTACTCACCACGCAGTCCCAAAGTTCATAGTTCCCAGACAAATCGGAGAGACCTTGATGGAAGCGTTGGGACCCAAGACCCTATGATATCCCAGAGGGGAGGGGGGTGCCGCACCGGTCGGAAGGGACATCTTAGCTGGAATGAAGTTGGTAGGGAAATCTTTGTAGAAAAGAAGCAGAGATGCGTTGAGAAATATACTACTTCATAATCCCAACAGGTACGATCTATCGCATCCTTTTATAGTGGTTAGTGGTTCCCATCCTACACAGAGTATTCTCCATGATGAGCCTATGTCTTTTACCGTTCACCAAGAACATCCGAAAGCGGCAGTGGTGTGAACGAGTACAGTTCAGATTTCGTCCGCTATTCGTCCGCATTTCGTCCGCAGCGGAGATAAGGTCCGTTCAAAGGCTGGAGAAGGGAAGCTCCAACTTTTGCCCCACTCGCTCAAGCTAGTCTTTCCCCGGATCTGATTGGATCGATGTTGATGCCAAATTGCTTAAGTGGCCAATCATGCGCCAGTACCATTCTCATCCGCATATGATACAAGAGCTGGTCGATCATATCATAATTGCCACCCCACGATCATTACCTTTTGTTCTGGCTGAACCTCATGGGGTTTCCCAAATTACCTCATACTGTTTGGGAAAGAACTCGCCACATAAGTGCAGTCTCGGTACGGAGTATATGACACGTCGTAGATTACTTCGCTCCCTGCGCTGTCTTACCATTGCTTAAACCTAGTCTTCCACTTCCGTTAGTCTAGCAGAAGAGCAGCAATGCATGTTGCCGACCGCCAAAGGAGGGTGCGGAAGGGGACGCGTAGTTGTTGGGAATGTAAGTTGGCAGTGCCACTCTGTTTACTTGGGCTCCTTCTGCCATCAGGTGTTGAGCATCTCGCGGCTTTCATTGGGCTGGTGCGACTACCCCTGAACCGGGCTAACAACAGGGGGAAAATAATATAGGTCGTCGAAGGAAAATACGGTGTTCCTTCGATCCAGCGAATTCTACTGTCTGTTCACAATGCCAAGCTCGCGGTTCTGCTTGTGTGGACCAGCGACGTGTCACCGACAGTGCCAGTGTTGGACAGTGCGGAGACCTTCGCGAACGCTTGTCCAGGTTGGAAACGATGGTCGACGGCCTTGCTGACGGGACCCTCGCTCAGCCTTCCACGGGGAAGGGACTGACGGATCTCGACATCGTCGCCAGAGAAACAGTACCCCTGATGTCAATGTTTGATAATGCAATCGTATGTCGCCCTGATCCCTCCAAAGCATCAGCTGTGCCCGATGTGGCCATTGGAGTTTAAATCTAATGCAGTGTCTGGTCAGCTGTCTCGCTCTACCAGCGATACAACGGCTCAATTCACCAAGGGCCCTTGTCAGCTGTCATCGGAGGCCACTAAGATATCGGCAGAAGACGTCTACCAGCGGTGTACCCATGGAGGGGCTCTGCCCGACACTCCACCTACAGCAGCCCAGGGCAACGGAGCGGACGACAAGTATCACCGTGCGCGGTCTGCCCTTCTCTTGGCCATGCCTCCACTCTCAACAACCCTGAGGTTAATACACGGCAAGGGCCGCTGGTGGGAACAATGGCAACAAAAGGCCTTCGGCACTGCCAAGCAGACAGAGTCCTTTTCCCAGTTTGCCGACCGTGCTTACCGGAATGGACACCCGGCTGAAGTTGGCCAACTTGTCATCGCTTACGGAATGACTACTGATGCCTCCAACATCTCCCGCTATCTTGGAGTTGTCCAGCACTGGGTCATTTCCGATGACGAATACGCTTCTAGCCTTGAAGGCATCGAATGCATGCTCCTGCAAGGTAAGTGTTTCGCAGATATCGGGCAGCCGCAGCGCTGCTGGTCCGCCTGGCGGCGCGCGATTCTCTATGCGGAGTTAAGGGTGAGTACTCATTCTTGCCAGCCCTCGGATCTATCAAGTGGCCGGACTTAAAACAAACCAGGGCCTTCACCGCAACCATTCCACTACCGATTATGGCGATCGCATTTGGTGGTCCCTCTTCCTCGGCGACCGATTCACAAGCTTGCTCCTTGGCGTTCCTTATGGTATCAGCGATCAGTTTTGTGATCTTCGGGTCAGGGAGGACACCAGCGGCTCGTATTCTACCCAGCAGCAACTGCAGGTACAGATTGGCTTGGCCATTGGCCGCGTGATTGATAACATCCATTCAGCAACGGCGGACGCGGCTCCTAAAGCCATGATTTTGGAGCATGAACTGGAACAAATTGCTTCCTTAATGCCTCCCTCCTGGTGGGATCTACCGTCTACATTGCCGAACACCGACGAAGCGATGATGGGCGTACGATTGAGGCTGTCCCTCCAGCTCTGTTTCTATCATGTGAAGACTTACTTGCATCTGCCATTGATGCTACGATATCCTAATGATCCACCTTGCGAATACAGCACGAAAGTCTGCCTGAGGTCCGCAAGGCAAATGCTTCATCGCTTCCTTTTGCTTCGCAGGAGAAGGCTGGGAGCTGTCCTGGATGAATGTCAGACCACGGATTTTATCGGATTCACCGCTGCAATTATCCTGATACTAGGCTTGTTTGGATACAATCGGGACTCTCATTTTCGCAACGGATGGCAAGATTCGGAGGATTACCAGATACTCAGAGAATCACTGCAAGTTTTCAAGGATAATTCGATGGCTCAGGAAGGAAGAGTAGCTGCAAGATGCTTTGAATCGTTGCAACTTATCCTTAGTACCGTCGGTCCAAAGTCCAATCCGCGGGCGAACTCTGAACGCATTCTTAAACTTTCAATCCCATTCTTTGGCCATATCTCCGTGGTCCGCGGAAACCTGCGAAGCGACAGTCGGAGTGATCTACAGCCAGCAAGGCATCAGGGCTCGGGTCAGGATGATGCTTACGAAGACTTCATGGCCAATAACCTAGGGAGCGCTGTACCTTTTGAGGACGCGTTCATCGAGTACAGTGGTCTCTATGGTACAAATTTTGGAGCTAATGACGCGTTGCAAGATTCGTTGCTCCTGGATGCCTACACGTCCATGCCTTGGCAGGATACGAACGAAGATTGGGTTTTGTGGGACACTACTACCGGGAATTGACGGGAATCTCACGAACAATATGCCAGCCTGAGGTCCCCGGGGGGCGCCCAGCAGTAATCTGGCCACCACCTCTCATCCTTCCCAGTTACGCTGTTTCACTGTAATTTTTCGATGTAACAATTCCCTAGGCTCGTTTTGCATGGCACGCAGTACGAGCCTACTGCACATTGACCTTAACATATGCCGTAATTAATTAGCTATGCAAATCAAGTGTATTGCGTCCTCTAGCAGCCACATTAACCTCCTTGGCAAAGAGAAGGCAATTAATTCGTATTTACGCCATTGACCTTTGACAATGTGTCTGAGCAGTTGGTTAAGCCTGGCTAGTTTCTGATGCTGGACTTCATATCCCGCGAACGTCCAAATGATCTTTCAGTGGATAGACATCATCATCATGGAAGGAAACGTAAAGCTTCAAGGGAGCACATCCCTTGAAGATCTGGGCCTTACCCTGGTTTTACCGAATCGGAGCTGTGAAGCACCTTTCGTCCGCGTTTCGTCCGTCTTGCCTCCACGCTCAATGTACCAATGAGCATAAACCAACCGTTGATATATGGGAGGGCCTGCGATACGCTCGGAGGCGCCAAAGCCGCTAGCGTACCCTGCTCGCCTCTGTGGAGGCTAGCTCCAAGACAGGATATCGTGGCGCCTACGTCGCATCGACAGGAGTGATGAAGTAATCTACGGGAACCGGATGTTGGAGACAAAAGGCATGGGGGAAAGGGTGGGAAGCGGGAAGCAAAGACCTTGGTAGTTATTATTATGTGCAAATCAATGTCTCGCAACAGAGGACTGTTCCTTGCTAATCATGGCCTTTCCCAAGCGTGATTAGGCATACATCACTGCTGATATTTTCCCGCCGGATTGTAGCAAATCGCCTGGAAAACATCTCGAGTGTGCTCCCAGATTTTGGATGATGTGCCGTCATCCTCCAGCTGCTTCAATATTTGACCATTATTGAGACGTTCACTATTCTCCGCCACCAGATGCAACTGCCCGGGCTCGAACGCGCTGCTCGTTGCCGCCCACAGGCCTCGCTCTCCAGCGTCTCGCACCGGTACAGTCCACGCCTTGAACACCTTACTGAAGGCACCCAGCAGTACCCTAAAGGCCGTGCCTAGCTCGCGGTCCGCATTCGTCTTAACTATGCCCGGCCGGGTATGGAAAAAAGTGATCCCAGCGTTGTTTTGATCTGCAGCAAGCCTAGCAAAAGAGAGCGTCGTCATGGTGGTGGCGTGTTGGGTGCAAGCTCCCAGGCTGTATTTGTGTTTGAGGGGCAAGTCGGACGTATCAATCGACTTTTCTCTACCGGCACCGAGCACCGAGACCACGCTTGCAAGGCGCGGCGATTGAGCGTTAGATTCAGCGCTGACGTCTCTCACAACTTCTCGCAATAGAGGCAGCATGTTCTCGGTGAACCGCAGGCGCGAGTAAAAGTCGAGGGCAAACCTGCGGTCAAGGCCCTCGGGCGTTTCTGGTACCTCATTAGCAAACAATACGTACAGCTTAATGTGGGTAAAACGAGGCTGGCTTTGGATTTTTTTTTTTTTTTTTTTTTTTTTTTTTTTTTTTACATACCTTCGCGTCCTCTGTAGTGGAAAATGCCAGCAGACAGAAAGAGCAGGTTGATCTTTGTTTCTTGTGCCTTGATCTGCTGGCAGACATCGTCCACACTGCGTAGCTGAGATACATCGGCTTTGATGAACCTCACCTCACTGGAAGAATTGAGCTCCTGGAACTCGCGCTGAATTCGTGTCGCTGCTTCCTGGCTCCTTCCTATCAAGTATACCCTCGGGCTGACTGCATATCGCACAAATTCTCGAGCAGTACTCTCGCCGATGCCACTGGTGCCGCCGACTGTTGAGGGAGGACGAATTGTCAGTTTCTGCCTTCGAACACACCAAGACCGAAGAGTCCATGGCCCCGATCGACTCACCGAAGACAACAACAAGGCCTGGCCCAAAGTGTCGAATTGTGGGAAGCTGATTCCGAATTTCCTTGATAGCCGTCATACTAAATGGGTGACGATCCGGTTGTACTCCGTGAGATTCAACGGGGAGAAGCAGGAGACTTAAGGAACGATAATTGATAATGGGCGTGTCTTGATCCAATGATACAGGAAATGTATAACCTAAGGATCCCATAGGAGCCCTGTTGTTAGAATTGCATTTTGGGTTGCGATAGCTCGGGTTTGGCACTTCCATCAATCCAATCAGAGAAAGGATAGCTCAGCGGAGTGAGGCAAAAGTTTCAGCTTCCCTTCTCCGGCCTTTTGAACAGACTTTATCTCCGCTGCGGACGAATAGCGGACGAAATCTGAACCACACTTGTTCACACCCAATGCCACTTCCGACGTTCTTGCGAACAGTAAAAGATATAAGCTTTTCATGGAGAATACTCTGTATATAGCGGTAACTACAACCACATACATTTGACAGTAGACCTGACGAACTCACTGTTTCCAATCAAAGTAACTTTGAGAGCGCTGACCCGTCCAAAGAATGACTGGCTGGACAGGTCAAGGCTGGAGAATGTTATCGCGGTGATGACCCACTCAGTAAGCCTGCAGGAGACAAATGATGCCAGCTCCGCGCGGCCTCATATGCATCCTCTCCCTGGTAATCCTTGACATTAACTTGGACGTCGGCATCCTCAAGGAATTCTCTCATGATGGTCGTCTGCCCTGCGGTCATGCATCTATTAAGATGAGAGAATAGGATATCTATATTATACTAAATAGTCCAGAATAGATATAAAGTTATCCGTCCAGTGCTAGAGGCGCGCCAAATGATATCTGTAACCATCTCTGTGGTTAGCGCCTGTGGTGCATAGTTATAGAGAAATTCTGACTAGAATCTTGATACGTTGTGCTCACAGTTATGACGTCATTCTAAGAGTTAACGAGGGACTAGGGAGAAGTTAACTCTAGTAATAGACCAATAGAGCTAGTGACTGTTAATAGCTATTATACAACACCAGAACCTCCGTAAATCTATTTAATAATTAATTTGGATTAAGGACCTGTGTAGTACTCTTGAATCGTGTTTGCAGAGTAATGTAGATTACTTTCTCCTAAGGCAGCTTGTAGTTGCATGCCTAGATAGCATGCCTGAGGCCCTGATAGAAGTATTTTAGATGTTTCATGACAACTAATATCGTGTTAATGTGAGGAGTGTTAGTTCAAAATAAGAAAGTTAATTGGTGCTTTATGTGATATTCTTACCTTACGATTACTTGCCCTTATACACACCTAGAAAAGCTAGAATATACAATGCTGATAAATGGTAACTAGTGGAGGCCCTACCATGTAGTATATTTATGTGATAGGCTACTTAAAGCTTCAGGAGGTGCAGATGACCTGGTCATATAAGAGACTTTATTTAACCTATTTCTATGACAGCTTTGCCCCACCAAACTTTCCGACTACGCGGTATATATAATGTGCAGGTAGGGGAGCAACGCTATAAAGCTACGAGCCAATACCAATGGTAGAGGGCCCGGGTTCGTAATACCTTTGGCAAGAGTGTACAGTCCTATCAGAGGGAACTAGTATGTGGTGAATTTGATGACATCCATATGGAATCTATGTTGAAAACCACTCAATTTCCGGTCTCGCCTCTCAGGTGCCACCCAGAGGTGAGATGGGTCATGGAAACAAATCTTCCTGTTGGCATAACTACGAAACGAAGCTGTCGAGACCTACCCGTAATCTTCACTATAGTGGCTGGGTCGTCATGGAATAATCGATAGCAATAAGAGAACAGGGCCATTCAAGTAGTAAACTGTCGACCTTCACATACCGCTAGTATTCAGCTCCAACACGGATACCATCAGTCAACGTCCCCTCGGCTGTAGTTATTCCGTATCGTGTCCATTTCCTAGCGCTTGTCGAAGCGTCGAATCCTCAGACCACACTCGAACTAGAGAAAGAGTGTCGGCCAACCGCAATTCCCCATGCTTATCAGCCAGTTTGGCTATGCCAGTATGGCGTCAAATCCATGCGAATGTGCAGTACACTGCTCCCTACCACACTTCCTAAACCTTGCTCCCTCGCATCCTGCAAAATTGACCACAGGGCTAGATTCAATGCTCTAATCAATGAACAAGCCCCCAGATGCAACCAGATGTGCACCATTGATCCATCGCGCACGTTCCTCACATAAAAAGGCCACAGCATAGGCAATCTCATCTGGCTGAGCCATCCGTGGCCCAACGGGAGTCTGATCAATGATTGGTTGAAGGATCTCCATCTGCTCCTTGCCAGCAGCAGCGAAGCCCTCGGTCATTGTTGGACCTGGACTGACGGCATTGACGGTACAGCCATACCTGGGAGGGAGTTCTTTTGCCCTGCGGAGGATGCTCAGTATTCATACAGGTATCACATAAGAATGGTAACACAACTAACCAGCACTTGGTAAAGGAGTCGACCATCCCCTTGGTCCCCGCGTAGATTGTCTGGTTCGGCGGAGGCCCTCGCGCCGAAATACTTGCAATGTTGACGATCCGACCAGACCCTTTGGTCAGATGTTTTAGGCTCGCCTGCGTCAGGAGAAATGTTCCCCGTCCGTTGATGTTCACCAGCAAATCCCAGTCTTCCAGCGTCTGCTCTTCGAAGGGCTTGTTGACTGCCAGCGCAACGGAGTTGACAACGATATCAATCCTCCCCCATCGAGAGACGGCGGCGTCAACTAGCTTCTGAGGGGCGTCTGCGCGGGACATGTCTGCCTCTATGGCAATTGCAGGCGAGGGAAGAGAGGCCACCAATGTGTCTGCTTCAGCCTGGAGACTGGGAAAGGGATAGTTGATCACCGTATTGGCCCCGCGAGAGGACAGCTCGCGCACAATAGCAGCTCCAATTCCAGAGGAGGAGCCGCTGACTATAGCTACTTTGTCTCGTAGCGACGTCTCCATTGTGCTGGGCAAGGGTGTGCTGATCGATTTTAAGAGGAGACTGGAGAGAGGCACTGAGCTCAATTGATGTATCAAACTTGTCAACTGGCTACTCTTTCATAAATATCACTAGGATTATTTTAGCACTATGATGAAAGACGCGCACTAGCGAATGTCCTTATCAGATTACCCTCCACGCCCCCGCGCGGCACAAGCTGACATCCCAACATCCCGACATCTCCCCCACCTGCCCGATAACCCCCCTTAGCGGCTCGATGGAGAATCTGCCAAATGAAAAATAACATCAACCTAGGTCGTTCCACCAAAATAAAACAGTTCGACCTGTGAAGAATCTTGAGACCAAGATTCGCAGTGAGGGTAACTCGCTGAAATCCGGTTTCTAACATTGTATGTTTCTTTAGTTCAAGGATTAGTGATTAGGAGTAGTCCTGAACTAAAGTGACACAGGCTGCATGAAACTATTGAATAATATCTTAGGTATGATAAATCATACATCTATAAATGCACCTGAATGATAAAAACGTACTATAGCTGGGAAGACACCGTCTCCCATTCATGAACATTATCTAACCCCCTAGTCCTCGAGACATCTCCTCTGTCTAAATATCCGCAGATTCTGCCGGTAGGATCCCACTTCCTGCGGATATCCATCAGCCGACGCCCGTTGCTCTCGGACCAGTATCTGGTCTGTCGTTCCTCGAAATCGGAATCCCCTAGATACGCCCCAACCGAATGCCGCTGGACTTGCTTCATCACGTTCTTCACCCACGCCTGGCACCGTGCATCGTCCTTCTCGTCTTCCCACACCGTATACAGTGCAAAGTAGTGGTCCGATTGCATGCTGAGTGCCATACTCGGCAGGTCGCGGCGGCTACAAGGGTTCATCGCGTACCACAGGGAAAAGGCCTTGCGATGGGGCAAGGTGGTGAACGCCTCCTCGAGGACTTTGGGGACGTCCGCGTCGTTGTGCAGGTAGGCATTCTCGGCGCAGTAGCGGTGGCCTTCTGGGTTTGCCTTGCCTTGGTTCACGTATTGGTTCTCTAGGCTGTCCTCTCGGCAGAACCATTCCTCGATGGTGCCAGCAGGGCGTGACTGCTGGGCTGGAGCGAGGGCTGCTTCTGCCTCTTCCGGAGTGTGTTTTAGAGTCACGAGGAGAACGAAGAGGCAGATGTCATTGCTGTCCTCGGGATACATACTCACAACAGCGATTTCGGTGTCGCGATCGAAATCCGGAGTGATGGCGACTATCCAGCTGAAGGCTTCATGATACTTGCTGATGGGGTAAACGTACCCAGACGACCGAAACCCGCGTTTGGGATACGGGAGGAGCTCAAGGTGGAACTGTGTGATCACACCAGGGAAGCCTGCCAAGAGGAAATGGGTCGGGAATCAGCACGATGAATTGATGATGTGGGTTAAGAGCTTACCCGGACCGGCACCTCGAGCTGCCCAGTAGAGATCCTCGTTTTGATTCTCGTTGCAGTGCAGCAGTTCCCCCTCTGCCGTCACCACATCGACGGCCTTGACTCTCTCGCACGCCCAACCCCAGCCCTTCATCAAGTCAGTTAACCATGATACCTGGAGATTTCGAGTCATACCCGGCAGTTCCATCCCATACCTCCTTGCAGGAGAAAGCCCCCCAGTCCAACATCCGGACAATGACCCCCTGGGAACATCAACCCGTACTCCTTGATCAGCTTTCCATTGATCTCCTTCCCCGTCATACTGGGTGATGCTCGCGCCAGACACTTCTCTGCGTCCACGTCCAGGTGCTTGTAATCGCCCAAATCTATTAGAATGGACTCATCACGCACACTCCAAGCAGCCCATGAATGTCCCCCGGAGCGTACAGCGACGCGGCAATTCTTCTCCTTTGCCAACTTGACTGCCAGCACGATGTCGTCTAGACAAGTGGCCTTGACTACTGCTAGGGGATATCGTCGCGGGCGACGGTGGTTGAAGACGCGACCCACGCGGGCTTCTTCGTAGACGGCTGGATCGGCCGAGGCGCGCCAGATAATATGCATTGTACTGCGAAGTGTGGTGACTGAAAAGACGACACGACTTTGTGTTTATCTAGACTACATTTGAGGTGTATAGT